AAAATCCCCCCAAACTTAACTCTCAACCAATGTGGGACTTTGGCATTTTGCCAAACTTCAACAATAAGGACCCATTTCTTCAGTTTTATATGTATGTAGAGAAAAATCATCTGTAGAATGGTATAATGGCAAATTAAGAACAACTTTTCTTTTTTCTTCTATTTTATCAGGATTTTGACAACAGTATGATCAGTTACTTTGTTCTATTTTGAGAATGATTTGGCAACGATACAATGTCATTTCACCATGGAAGATTCTTTTAGTCTATTACTTTCCTCTCTTTCTGAGATGTTGACGACAATTCTCCGAGCATCCAATCCCCTTCCGGTCCACTTCTCAAACCACATTTAGAACTCGAAAAGGGGGAATACTAGCTAGAAATTGCTCAAATTTCCATCATACAAATTGATGAGGATTGCATGTAACAATTAAATCAAATGGTGCTGTGATAAATGTAAGTTGTTCTCTCCATCAGTAGTCGTTTTTCAAATTTTTACTACTTAGCTTTGCTTGCATGTTAATTCCTTTTATTCGTTATATCTTGTTGAGCAGTGCGTAGCATCTATTTGCACTGTGAAGCCGAGGAAACATCTTTGCTCGAAATGAAATTTAAGGTTAGCTATAAAAAGAGTTACTAATATGTTGCAACTACAGAAATCTTTATACATTATGACAAAAACTTACTATAAATAGAATTTAATAATTTGCTCTAGGAAGTAGTTAGCAAAATGTAATATTGATAAACTAGTCATCTTTACACTGCACAGATAATTGCAATTCATGTATTCTTGTCATATACCTCACTCTTCGTCTTACTTGATGAATTTTAGTTCATGTATTGCTTGAACCTTCATCTCAATAGAAATTCATGTATTCTTGTTCTTTCCGTTTTTCAGTGAGTTTAGCAAGGATGAGGTGGTTTAGAGTAATGCACAAGTCCACTATTGAATGTGAAGCTCTAACAGAATTCAAAGGTATATGCGACACAAAGTTTGCCTCCTATCTAAAAAAATAGAAAAGTTTGCTTCCCTATATGATTATCAGATATCAGCTTAGCAATTATTTTAATCAGAATTTGTAGCAATATGTAAGCTATTACTACTGTTAGCTCCGTTGGTGAATGGAAAGTTGTGCTGACATTCTCTATTCAGCAAAGTGTAAGCGAAGAAAAGTACTGCTCTTTTATGTGAAATTTCATAGTAGTACTTCTCTTTGACATTCTTAGAAAATATTGTGCATAATTTTGTATCAATTATATCACCTAGTGCTCTTGAGTACCAATTTTTCAGTTTTGTATGTATGTTGAGAAAAATCATCTGTAGAATGGTTTGACGGCAAATTAAGAACTACTTTGCTTTTTTCTTCTATTTTATCAGGATTTTGACAACAGCATGATCAGTCAGTTTGCTCTATTTTGAGAGTGATTTGGGAACGATACAATGTCATTTTCTGTTGGAAGGCTTTTTCAGCTTTTAGCTGAAGTTTACAATTGATGGTCATATACCGCTCAAATTGCGTCTTGAAATTGAGTAAATGGAGGAGTGGCCAGTGATTGCTCAATCCCCCCACTGTATTATCAAGGTAAATAAGTGATTCTCCAAAAATGGTGCCTATTAATTTTCAAGGCTTCTCTTGGCTTGTTTATTAATTGCTGTCTTTTCTAATATTCCAGACCGCTATGCATCATTTATTTCCGTTGCAAAAATTATTAGTCCCTTCATTCCCATATTTATACTCTCCCGTCACTTCCTGTATAACATGAATGGTTGTTTTGACAGGCATCGGTAACAGGATTTATCAGCTCTTTGATTGGTGAAAAAACTGAAACGATATAAGGCTTACATCTTCTAAGGTAATATTGCTTTTTCTTCAAAATTTATTTCCCATTCTATACTTTTGTGTAAAATCATTCAAGCCGTGTATGGTCTCAAATCTCCATGCTGGAACAAAATGCTGATACTTGAAGCGAACTTCTTTTCGTTTGCAGAAGGAGGTTGATTAGAATGATGTGATGCCTGAAGTTTCAGCTAAAACCACGTCTAGAATTTGACAAGGGGGATTACTGGACTAAAACTGCTCATATTTCCACCATAAGAGTCGATGGGAAATAGCGAAGGTGCTCTAACTGATCTAAGGTAATTCTGTTTTTTCTTTCCTTTGTTTGTTGATTCTTTCCCTTTGTGAAATATTGTTGAGCAGTGTGTAGCGTCTATTGCCACTATGAAGCCGAGGAAGTATCTTCATATCAGGATGAAAGATGACAAAAAAAAAAGGTAATATGTTACAACTACAGAAATTTTTATTCATTGTAAGAAAAGAAAAGACATAGTATCGGCTGAAATTGAAAATTTTATCTAGGAAGTTCATAGCAAAATGTAATTTTAACAAACAATTTTACCATTAGCATACGACATATGTAGGTCTTTTGAAATATGAGTATTTTGCCTCTAACATAATATCTCCTATACTTCTACTTCATTGATTGATGGTCACCTCATCTAGTATGGTGACTGAAGTTCTGTCCTCTTATTAACATAATCTATTTTTTCGGTTAACTTGCCTGCGATATCCTTTCCGTGGAAAATAAGAAGCAAAGGTTCTAATACAACTGGTCAAATATATGCAGAAGATAAAAGGTCCAGATAAAGGCAACCTCACTTTTCAGTAAGGTAGCCAAACCTTGAAAAGAGTTACATCAAGCTTGAGTTTTAAAGAGATTGGATATGATACTCAATGTCTGCTTCCGTTATTTAAGCACATGTTATATCAGATTGATTTCAAGTTGATACGACTGCATTTGATAGCACATACTAAGATTTTATCATGTTAGCACAATAGTTAAAACAACAGTTTTTGTTTTGAATATTCAGAGGTTTGGACTGAAGATATAAATATTACGTTATATCATGCACATATATGTCAGCCAGATGTGCATAGTCATTTTGAAATATGAGTCAATCTTACTTGACAGTTTTTTCGTCTAAGTATTGCTTGAAGTTTCACCTCAACAGAAATTCATGTTATTTTTTGTTGTTTCTCTTTTTACAGTGAGTTGAGGAAGGAGGTGGTGGTTATGGAGTAAAGCAAATTTTATCTTTGACCTTTGATGTTTCTACTGGCAGTTCAAAGGAATACGAGACAGAAAGTTTGTATTCCATAATTTAACTTCTAAAAGCATCAGCACAATATTAGTGCTATTTTGTATGATTATCTGATCTCAACTTAACGATCGTTTTTCTTTCTTTGTCAGGATTTTGGTGACAATTAGCTATTCTAGCTCATTGCCAGTTGGTGACAAGAAAGTTGTGTCGAAATTCTTTATTAAATTTGGCAAAACTCCTTCTTTTTCATCCGCCAGAACCTATGCAACAACTCCATCAATCTCTTGAAAACTCTAGGCATAGCAAAAAATGATATTTTTGTGTATGCACTATGTTGGTTGTTCACTGCTCAAACCACATTTCAAAATTATGAATCTGGAAGATTGGCCAATAATTGCTCAAATTCCGATTCTATGGGTAGATACTGCTTATATATATATATATATATATATATATATATATA